GGTCTCTTTCTATAAGTCTATAATATATAACTAAACTATTGTATGTAAAGTAAATAAGGTTTTTAAAATGTTTAAGAAGCTTCATTTTAAATTAAATTAAAATGCAGAGCCCCCTGGACCAGTGGCCATGACTCGGGCAGTGTGAGTGCCACTGAAAATCACACGTGCCATAGGTTGCCTACCCCAGAGCTAGGAGTATAAGGAACAAAGTTTTGGCAGTAACAAAGACACTAAAGAAGTCAAATTCCAACAAATTAATACTTGAAAAGTCCTTACTTAAGTCCTTTCTTCAAAGCTTCAAAAATTTTCTTCACCTGCTGTGGTTTTGGATCCCAGATGACAGCCCCTCTCTGCAGGGAGGGATACATTTTGGAGGATTTCACAGACATTTTAGACCTCACTGAATTCCTGCTGAGAGACTTTCTGTAGGGAGGGGGGGGAAAAAAAGAATCAGCATCACCTCAGAGCTGGAAGAAAGTCTCACATATATAGCTACTACAATGATAGTTACAGAGCTGCTTCTGCAAACCTTTACTCAAAGGAGCAGTCTCATTTGAAAACAGTGGGACTACTTAAGTGAGTAAGGGAAGCAGTATCAGGACCTGTATTAGATCCATAACAGAGAGTGGTTCAGGGTTTGTCTTTAACCCATCAAAGCCAAGAAATGGCTACAGCTCACTGGGATGAGAGGCCAAAGGAAGATAGAGAAGATTAGGTTATGAGTGTTAACTTAGAATTTCCTGGTTTCAAGGGAGACCTCTAGGAATCAAGTATGTCTCTTCTGTTAAATTTATATTACACACACACACACAATTCCCCATTATTTGGGGGAACCAGAAATAGATTTTTATGTACTGCTGATTCACAGACTGCAGTTCAAACACTCAGTAATTAATCCTTGTGATCTGCTCACAAGATAGCTTATGCCCTGATCCTGTAAACACATTCATAAAGGGTAGGTTTGTAGAACTGGGACCCAATTTTTATTATCCCCGTCTGTAAAATGGAGAAACTGAGGCAAAATGTTTGTGGGTTACGCAAGGTCAGGAAAGAAGTTGGGGTCAGAGTCAGGATTAGATTTTGGGCACTGCTGTTCTCCAAGTTTCACTAATCCCCTGACAAATGGTCCACTCTCATCAACTAAAGGGATCATATACAAGATTAAAAGTACGTTAACAGACCAGTTCTGTGCTATTAGGCAGTCTAGCAAAGATATGTTATAAAAGGACTTCAGAAATAGCTACTGCTTGGCAGCTCTCAACACCTGTTTCAATATTCACTCATTTACATTTTTTGTCTGAAAGTTTCAAAACATGCCAGGAGTCTACCAGGCCCAGATTATAAACTAGGTTTTGTTGTTGTTGTTGTTGTTGTTGTTTTTAAATCAAGGGGTTTTTTTTCCTAACCCAAACTGGCTTTCTATGACAGACCCATTACATCTTTTTAAAGCAATTAAAAATCAAAATCAAATCCCACTTAGCTCAGAAATCCTGTAAAAAGTCATTACATAATGGGCCTGCTGTGCAAATATGAAGAACAATAACACCTGTAGTCTTTAGTCATATACCTGTGATGGGTAAGCCGAGCCCAGAATAGGCTTTGAAATCACTGCTGGCACTTGTCTCCTGTTGATAGTTTCCTGGCTGGTTTACCTCCCTCTTTATAACTTCATAAACCCTGATTATTTGTAGCTGGTTTGATTAATTCCCCCTTCTATTTGCTTTTAATTCCTTCCTTTAAACCAAGCCTTTATTTGACAAAGTTAATCTAGGGAAATTCCCCACTCCTGACATCTATTCAGATTGTGTCGTTGGGTTGAGTTGAGTTGAGGCTCCCTCAGCTTTTGAGTGCTGAGTA